CCCTTGCTGGAGGAGTTTTAGCCTAAGCGAATGGTCAGGGGGTCCCCATATACCCACATGTGTTAGGAGCGCTCGTCAAGGGACATAATACTGGTATGACGGAAACTAGGGTGGCAAGAGTGGAACAAAAAATGAAGCAAAAGGCTAAGCCTTCCACCCTTTACCAAGTATATAGATGCTTTAATTCAATAAGAGATATTGTGATATCCCATATATCCATGTCCCAACATGGAACAACCGGCAACTGCACCTTCAACTAGCAACGCTATAAGAAGGGCTGAGCAAGTGGTAACATAGACAAACAATGGATTGCTATGAGGGTGCAAAGGTTAAAAGGTTAGAGGTTGTTCCATGGCAATTTGGGAGGCTTGACAAACAAGTGGTAGGTAGCGTGACATAGCAATAGTATCGAGACAACTAGCAAAGCAAAGATAGTAGTGATATCCAAGGTAATGTTCATCTTGCCTGAAATCCCGCTAGGAAGAAGACCGAATCCATGAAGTAGACGAACCAACGTAGACGAACGAATCCTCAAAATTGCAACGTTACCAAAAATATCAAGAAGAAGTAACACCGGAAAGAAGCAAACAACATGGTAAACCAACAGGCATAGTCATGGCATGATGCACAATCAAGTATGATGCATGTCCGTTTTAATGAGTCATGGCATGGCAAAGTGCAAGAAACAATACTACAAATTAAGTGGAGCTCAATATGCAATGAGTTGCATATTGATGAAACACCACATTCGAATTATTTAGTTTGCTCTCGTTTATGAACAAGACAAGATTAAATGTTAGTTTAACATGACAAGAGGTGAAGCATAATTAATCTACCTAGCTAGGCAAGTTTAAATGAGGCCAAAAACAACAAACAACAATTCCAGAAAATCCCCATGTGCATATCCCCAATTTGCTATTGTTCTGCCCTATACACAACTTTAGAGTTGTTAAACATGCAAGGTAATGCCACCATGTTAATATATGCATTTTTCTACACATTTACATATAAAGTTTATTTAATTTGGAGCTATGGTTATTTAGTTAAGAAATAAATCATTTTAACATGTCATTTATGCAAATTAAATGCAAATAGACATTTAAACATTTTTAACAGGGGTGAAAGTTGCATATTTGAAACTAATGAAATTCTAAACATTTTACATATATAGTTTTTTTAATTCCGATGCACGGTTTGTGAGATATGATATGCATGAACATGGAGGGTTTTTCTGCAATTCTGCCAACTCTGGATAATTAGCTAAAACGTCCAGAATGGAAAAAAAAGATGCGGGCCAAATCTGGTTAGCCCAATAGTGCACAGTAGGGGTTTGAGCGGCTGCTAACCACTGGGCCTTGGCACGGCGCGGCCCACGTGCGGTGGCTGAGCGAGGAGGCGGGGCGAGCGAGTATTGGGCCTTGGCACTTGTCCATGCGGGCGCCGGATCAAGTCAACGAGCGGCGAGCTTGAGGGAGTCAATCGAGCTCCTCTGCTCAATCAGAGCGAGTAGAGGTCATCGGCGGCTGCTAGGACTTGGCGAAGGGTGGTGCCATAGGCAGCGGCGGCGGACCAAGGCGAACCATGGGCATGGCACCACGCAGGAGGGGGTGGGGAGTCCGACCAGGACGAGATCTGGCAAGGGGACGACGGGGAACGGCGGAACAAGGCGACGCCGAGCGGATCTGGGCGCGAGGCGGCGGTGTCTTGGGCTCCTGGTGAGGGGCTGTGGAGCTTCGGGGCAGCCATGGTGGTCTCCTGGTACAGAGAAAAGAGAGAGAGAGGGGTGAGGGAAGAACCTAAGACAAGAGCAGAGGGGACACGAAATAGAGATGGAGAGGCAGGGGCTTGTCTAGTGCTCGCTGGAGATTGAAGCAACGGGGATGAGCTGCTCGTGATCCCCTCGGGATCGAGCAGAGGAGGTGGCCTCGGCGCCTGCGGGCATAGGGACGAGGAGGCGGGCACACGCGATGGAGCTCGAACATGCTGGAGATCAGCCGGAGGTGGGGTTGGTGTCGTGACACGGGCATGAGGCGGAGCGGGGCTGGTTCAGTGAACAAGGTGGCGGCGGATTTGGATGGGAGGATCTCGAGGATAGAGGGAGGCTGTCGACTGTCTCGGTTGGTCGGGGAAGGATCCCGAGGAAGGTGGAGACCGGGCGGAGGCGCGAGGAGGGGGAATAGGTTTAGGCTAGGTTTTGGTACAGGGGTGGACTATATATATGGAAAGGGGGAGTTTGGATCATCCGATCAAATTCAGACCGTTGAGACAAATAGGCTAGGGAAGTCCGAGTAAGAAACCGAAGATATTTTGGGGATGTTTGGAGCCGGACCCATCGGTAACGACAACCCGGTTCGGGTTCGGGTAAGTTTCAGACGCACACGCAAGGGGGTCTTAGAGAAGTCGGCAAAGACAAAGGGGCCTGACAAAAGGTCAACAGAGATAGAGAGAGAAGTGGCAACTACGAACGACTATGAGTTTTATGAAAATATGCATATCCAATGCACATGATGACATGATGAAATGCAACAAACAAAATAAAACTCACGGCAACAAAGAAAACATGGAAGGCGTATGGAGCATCGCTCTCGGGTTGTCACACTCTCCCCCTCTATGTAGCGGTGTAAACCTCTTCTCCCCTCTATAATCTCTACCTAAACATGGTGCTTAATGCTATATAATATTATCCAATGGTGTATGGCCATCCTATGATATTTGAGTAGATTCGTTTTGTCCTATGGGTTGATTGATGATCATGATTGGTTTGAGTTGTATATTTTATTTTGGTGTTGTCCTGTGGTTCCCTCAGTGTCGCGCAAGCGTGTGGGATTACCGCTATAGGGTGTTGCAATACATTCATGATTCTTTGATGGTGGGTGGTGAGACTGACAGAAGCTTATTCCTGCGTAAGGGGGTTGTTGTGTATGAGAGTAAAGAGAACTTGATACTTAATGCTATGGTTGGTTTTTACCTTAATGATCTTTGGTAGTTGCGGATTCTTGCTAGAGTTCCAATCATAAGTACATATGATCCAAGTAGAGAAAGTATGTTAGCTCATGCCTCTCCCTCATATAAAATTGCAATAATGATTACCGGTCTAGTTATCGATTGTCTAGGGACAAATAACTTTCTTGTGTTAGAAAAGCTATCTACTAAACAATTAACTTTTATTATCTCGCAAAGTACTCCTAGTTTTATTCTTGCAAAGTATTTCTAGCATCACACCTACAAAATAGTTTCATACTTGTTCTAGGTAAAGCAAACATTAAGTGTGCATAGAGTTGTATCGGCGGTCGATAGAATTTGAATGGAATATAAATTCTACGTTTAGCTCCTCATTGGGTTTGGCACTCTTATTTATTGAAAAAGCAACAATTGATCCCCTATACTTGTGGCTTATCAGTCTCAATGAGTGTTTTCACACGGTCCCACTGAAGTGTGCATAAGGGTGTGTAACGGTTGGACTTTTTGTGATGGCTATATATACCCCGCACTCATCCACTAACTCTCAGAGAGCCACCCGTTCAGAGCTTACACTTCTCATATCTATTTTCTGAGAGAGAACCACATATTCTTGTGTTGAGATCAAAGGTGGAAGTCCACCCCAACCATAGAACTTTGATCTCTAGCCTCCCCAATTTGCTTTCCACTCAAATCGCTTTTGAGTGTTGAGGAGACTATCTTTTGAAGCACAAGAGTAAGGAGTTCATCATCAACAACATCTATTGCCTTTTGGAGAGTAGTGTCACCTTGATTAGTTAGATGTCACTTGGGAGCCTCCAATGCTTGTAGAGTGAACCAAGGAGTTTGTAAGGGCAAAGAGATTGCCTACTTCATGAAGATACCCCGAGTGAGGCTAGTCCTTTGTGGGCATGTCATGATGACATAGACAAGGTTGCTTCTTTGTGCACCCTTCATGGGTGTAGCCCTTCATGGACTCGTGCAGCCGTTATCCCTCTAGGGATTGAAGTCTCCATCAACGTGGATGTATGATAGAAACACCTATCAGAACCACGGGAAAAAAATTGTGTCACCCTTTGTTTGCAAAATCTCCTCTCTACTCCTTACATTCTTGCACTTGCATGGCATCTACTTACCGCTGCCCATACTCTAGATATCCATGTGTAGGATTTATTGCTCGCTATCTAACTTGTACTAATATCTACCTAAGTTTCAAGAGAACTAAGAATTGCACATTTTTCCTTGTAAGTGCCTACCCCCCCCCCCTCTAGACCTATCCTTTTGATCCCACACTTGCCGATGGGATAGTGGCCACCGATGTCTCACCACGAGAAACTGCTGAGCCAGACAAAAAATCCACGGTTACCGCTTGACAAGCCTAGCCATGGCACCGGGATGGTGACTCTGGCCCAAACCTAGACCTTGGCAGGGGCGGCACCAGAATGCACTCCTCGTCCATGGCAGGACGAGATAGCCCCGGACCACCTGGACTCATCCACCCCACCCAAGGCCAACAAGAAGACTAGCGGCACCAGCGGACCAGCACCCTCGATAGCGGCACATCCAACAAGGGTTGTAGAAGCCCGAGGGGAACCAGGGTGACTGAAGAAGATGACCCCGCCGCCGCCAGTAGCCCATGGCCTTTGCCCGGCGACTCCGGCCGGCAGCGGCCAGGAAGGACGGAGTGGGGGGGTCCTTGGGATGGAGGCGGAGGCACCTCCCGTGTCGTCCCAGGCGTGCGACACAGAGGCCTCGGTGGGGTTCACTGAATATAGATATCGTATGTAATTTGACTTATCTTCAATACATTTTTTTTCTCATTTATATTTAATTTAAGCACAATTATATTCTAACAAACTGAGGCACCCAGCTAAAGTAGCAAAAATACACCAACTAAAGTATCATATCAATTCAGCTAGCTCAAACCATCGATTAATGTGATGTTAAATCATAATGATACAAATAATTCAATAGATAACTTTGAAGTTGGAAAGAAGATTTGTTTTCTAGAAAACCCTGCGTACTCGACCTTGATGAGCCTATCATGGCGATGAAACGACGCTCTCCACCTTGGGCACCTCAACTGGGAACCGGTGGATCTCCTCAATCCATGGGTTGTTACGGGCTTCCTTTGACGGGTGAATGTCCTTGAGCGCGCGCCACACCGCGTTGTTACACTTGAACCCTGACCCGAAGGCGATCTGCCATGCACGGTGCCCGCGTCGGACGCGTCCCTTGGCCTCCGTGTATGCAAGCTCGTACCTGAGCAGGCTGCTCGACGTGTTCCCCCACCGGTTTAATGTCATCTTCGTAGGGTCCATGTGCCAGTCACTGAGCTCCAGGTTCTTCTCGATGGTGTCCAGCACCGCCCTGCCGCCAGCATGGATGCAGAAGTGCTCGAAGTCCATCTTGAAGTCCGGAATGTAGAGCTTCATCTTGAGACTAAAGATCTTCTTGCCGATGAGAGATATGAGGAAAAGGATCTGCTCGGACATGGGGAGAACGAGGGGGCCGAGCGTGGTGATGTTGGTCTTGAGGGCCGAGCCGGCGATGGCCATGAGGTCATTGGAGAGCGCGACACCGACCAGGCTAGCCTTATCCTCCTCCTGGAACATGCAACGGTAGGCGTGGTCGTCGGTGCCGTGGTGCGTGCGCACGGTGTGCACGAGCTGGTATTTCGAGCAGCGCTTGTCGGCGGCGCGGTTGCTGAGGAGGATTGCCGCATCGCCTATGCGGAAGAGGCAGTTGGACATGAGCATGGAGCAGTCGTTGCCCCGGTACCAGTTGATCATGATGCTCTCCATGCTCACCACCAGCGCGTACGAGTTCCGGTGGACCTGCATGCATCCATTACAACATGGCAACTCCAATGAGAAGCAAATTAATCTGTCAACCAAATAAACACATGACTCCTACTGGCTAGCTGCCCTCACTAGTAGACGTCTGCCTGTGCATCCGTATTCTCGACGAACCTACTGCCTAGCTGCCCTCATCAATATTATGACAAGTGGTGATCAGCTAGCTCGTCGATGGATCGATAGATCCCTGCACACGTCAACGGTCTACCTATAGACTTTAGTAGGTGCTTGAACCACTCAAAGATGGGAAACACTCGCTACCTGGACCATTTCAGAGTAAGTACAAGCAAATGAAATAGAAACACTCCCTCTCGAGCTGGTATACCAACAGGTTTTCAATCAGTACACCTGCATACGTCACGTACGAGTGCTATTGGAGCAGTGGTCGAGTGTTAATTAATGGGATGTTATCGTCTTAACAACTAGTATGCCGCGAACCAACCTGTGGCTGGATGGTTAGAGGGACTGTAGTATCCCCAGCCCACCAGGGTTCAAATCTTGGTGCTCACATTTATTCCTGAATTTATTTTAGAACTTCCGGCGAAACGCATTTAGTGGGAGGAGTACTTTGTATGGTTTCTGTGAACACTTAATAAGTCTTTTTAAAAAAACAAATAATACTACCTAACAACCAACTAGAATTATTAATGTTCCAGGATAATATCGAACTCCTCCATAGATGTTGTAATCCAACACGTATAGCAGCAGCGAATGTTGACAATGACAGCATCGGTATATAGGTCAGAAAAAGTTCTACTAGAAAACTACGTACATGAAAAGTCAAACCAACTCAAAGTCTACTCTCCCTTCCCAACCGCTCACTAGTTTCGATCAACGCCGTCCATCCACCCAACCATCGGCTGACGTGCGAGCACGCACCCGCAGGTGGTCGCTGAACCCACTCGAACCCACCGCGAAATTAACACTACGCTACGTACTCGAGGAGTGGTATAAAAAAATTACCTGGAGCAGCTGCTTAGCCAGGTCGATGGACATGAGCCCGGCGTTGCATCCCATGCCGCCGAGGTTGTAGCTAGCAACGTTATCGCGGAGCTTATAGCGTCTATATGAGCAACAGGTGTTGCCTAAATGGTGGCTTGAGACTCATAGATGTATTACTTTGTATGGTCTCTGTGAATAAGTAATAAGTCTTTTTTCAAAATAAACAAATAATACTACCTAACAACCAACTCAAAGTCTACTACGTATATGAAAAGTCAAACCAACTCAAAGTCTACTCGCCCTTCCCAACCGCTCACTAGTTTCGATCAACGCCATCCATCCACCCAACCATCGGCTGACGTGCGAGCACGCACCCGCGGGTGGTCGCTGAACCCACTCGAATCCACCGCAAAATTAACACTACGCTACGTACTCGAGGAGTGGTATAAAAAAAATTACCTGGAGCAGCTGCTTGGCCAGGTCGATGGAGATGAGCCCGGCGCTGCATCCCATGCCGCCGAGGTTGTAGCTAGCGACGTTATCGCGGAGCTTATAGCATCTATATGAGCAACAGGTGTTGCCTAGATGGTGGCTTGAGACTCACAGATGTATTACTTTGTATGGTCTCTGTGAATAAGTAAGAAGTCTTTTTTCAAAAGAAACAAATAATACTACCTAACAACCAACTAGAAGTATTAATGTTCCAGGATAATATCGAACTCCTCCGTAGATGTTGTAATCCAACATGTATAGCAGTAGCGAATGTTCACAATGACAGCATCGGTATATAGGTCAGAAAAAGTTCTACTAGAAAACTACGTACATGAAAAGTCAAACCAAGTCAAAGTTTACTCTCCCTTCTCAACCGCTCACTGGTTTCGATCAACACCGTCCATCTACCCAACCATCGGCTGACGTGTGAGCACGCACCCGCAGGTGGTCACTGAATCCACTCGAACCCACCACGAAACTAACACGACGCTGCGTACTCGAGGAGTGGTATAAAAAATTTACCTGGAGTAGCTGCTTGGCCAGGTTGATGGAGATGAGCCCGGCGCTGCATCCCATGCTGCCGAGGTTGTAGCTAGCGACGTTACCGCGGAGCTTATAGTGGTTGACGACCATGGTGGAGAGTGACAGCGTCGGGTTGAAGAGGCTGCAGTTGACGACCACGACGCCGATGTCCCTGGCCCTCACCCCTGTCTTGGCGAGCAGGTTGTCGATGGCGCCGAACATAACAGCCTCCGCCTCCTGCCGCGCCTCTTGGGCGGCGGCGCTCATGGTGGCGTACACGTAGCACCGTGGGACACGGCCGGGCCGGCTAGTTTGCGTGTGTGCGTGGTGGCTGCCGCGATTGGTCGGGGTTGGGAAGTGTTTGTCCGTGATGGATGGGAGGTGGAATCAGAAGCAATAACAGGGGTTGCGGTAAGTGGGAGGTGGGTGCAACCACCGGAGCTACCATTAAGACGGAGGTGGAGGGAGCACAGCTCAGCCAGCAGGGGAGGGAGAAGGGAAGGAAGCGCGGGCGAGGATCGGTTTCGAGTTATTAATGTGAGACGCACGTGCGGAAGGCAAGTTGGGCGCCTCGGCATGGCGGTCGCGTCGTGCTCGTGCAGGTGTGGGTCTCGGTCGGTCGGGGTTGTGTAAATATGGTTGGGATTTTTTGTAGGATATATACTTTATATAGGAGAAATATAAATGTGGTTGGGTTGGTGTTGGGCTACAGACAAAGACGGAATCAGACACGTACTGCTTCCTACTACCTTCACACGTGAGTTCCTTTTGGTGCGCGGGGGTCTCTTTTCTTCATTATTATGACACCATGTGCTTCGTATATCGTTGACCTAGGATCTAAGCTCAGGGATGCCACTTTTGATCGCATAGAGCCTATCGATTCAGAGAAATGCCCAGAGTTATAAATAATCTAAGGGCTCCTTTTATTCAAACGAACTTTATAGGATTTCTGAAGGATTGAAGATTCATAAGATTGGATTTCATAGGAATTTTTTCTATGGAATCTTTTGTATTTATAGGGAATCTAACATTCATTTCAACCTCTTTTTACAAAATTTTTGTCTTTTTCTGTGGCATTAAACACTCATTGCTGATCCTATAGGGTTCAAGTGGGCATGCCACTCCAACCCTATACTTTTTTTATTCCTGAGTTTTCAAAGTCCTACGAATCAAAGAGGACCTAAATCGACACCTCATTTGGAGTGTGTTGGTTGTTGAAATATTAGGGTGGGCCTAGGGCCATCTAAAAATTTCAGAAAATCTTTAAGGGCCCATTTGGGTTATACGACAACGGATGTGGTTGGAAGTTTAATCTCACACCGCTAATTGGAGAGGAGTTGAACCTCCTTATAAGGGATTCTCTTCCACATGCTATTGGAGCTTGAGAAAAGAAGTGGTTCCCGCGCGCTCCTTGATACGTCTCCAACGTATCTATAATTTTTGATTGTTCCATGCTATTATATTACCCTTTTTGGATGTTTATGGGCTTTACTTTACACATTTATATCATTTTTGGGACTAACCTACTAACCGGAGGCCCAGCCCGTATTCTGTTTTTTGCCTATTTCAGTATTTCGAAGAAAAGGAATATCAAACAGAGTCCAAACAGAATGAAACCTTCGGGAGCGTGATTTGTACGTGATCCAGAGGACTTGGAGTGCAAGTCAAGAAGCAGTCGAGGCGGCCACGAGGGTGGAGGGCGTGCCCCCTATCTCGTGGGCCCCTCGGGCGGCCACCGACCTACTCCTTCCTCCTATATATACCCATGTACCCCAAAAACATCCAAGAAGCCAACGAAAACCTATTTCCACAGCTGTAACCTTCTATATCCGCAAGATCCCATCTTGGAGCCTTCGCCGGCGCTTCGCCGGAGGGGGAATCGACCATGGAGGGCTTCTACATCAACACCATAGCCCCTCCGATGAGTTGTGAGTAGTTTACCACAGAGCTTCGGGTCCATAGTTATTAGCTAGATGGCTTCTTCTTTATTCTTGGAGATCTATTCGATGTAACTCTTTTTGTGGTGTGTTTGTCGAGATCCGATGAATTGTGGGTTTATGATCAAGTTTATCTATGAGAAATATTTGAATCTCCTCTGAATTCTCTTATGTATGACTGAGTTATCTTTGCAAGTCTCTTCCAATTATCTGTTAGGTTTGGCATACTAGATTGATCTTTCTTGCAATGGGAGAAGTGCTTAGCTTTGGGTTCAATCTTGCGGTGTCCTTTCCCAGTGACAGCAGGGGCAGCAAGGGACGTATTGTATTGTTGCCATCGAGGATAAAAAGATGGGGTTTATATCATATTGCATGAGTTTATCCCTCTACATCATGTCATCTTTCTTACTGTGTTACTCTATTTTTATGAACTTAATACTCTAGATGCATGCTGGATAGCGGTCGATGTATGGAGTAACAGTAACATGTAGGCAGGAGTCGGTCTACTTGTCACGGACGTGATGCCTATATACATGATCATGCCTAGATAATCTCATAATTATTCGCTTTTCTATCAATTGCTCGACAGTAATTTGTTCACCCACCGTAATACTTATGCTATCTTGAGAGAAGCCACTAGTGAAATCTATGGCCCCCGGGTCTACCTTCTATCATATAGGATTTCAATCTACTTTTATTTGCATCTTTACTTTTCCAATCTATATCATAAAATACCAAAAATATATTTATCTTATCATACTATCTCTATCATATCTCACTTTCGCAAGTGGTCGTGAAGGGACTGACAACTCCTTTATTGCGTTGGTTGCGAGTTCTTTGTTTGTTTGTGTAGGTGCGTGGGACTTTTGAGAAGCCTCCTACTGGATTGATACATTGGTTCTCAAAAACTAAGGGAAATACTTACGCTACTATTGATGCATCACCCTTTCCTCTTCAAGGAAAACCAATGCAAGCTCAAGACATAGCAAGAAGGATTTCTGGCGCCGTTGCCGGGGAGGTCTTCGCTCAAGTCAAGACATACCAAGTACCTATCACAAACTCATCTCCCTCGCATTTACATTATTTGCCATTTGCCTCTCGTTTTCCTCTCCCCCACTTCACCCTTATCGTTTTATTCGCCCTCTCTTTCCCAACCTCCTCTCTCTCTCGCTTGCCTTTTTGTGTGTCTATTTGTCCTTATGGCTTTGCCTAAGAATACCGACCTCCTTCTTAGAAGGTTGGAAGAGATTGAATCAAATGTTACAAGTTTTGTGACTTTACAATTTGAGCATAATAATTTCTTTAGAAAAGAGCTTAAAGAACAAAAATGTTTTTTGGGGTTTATGAACAAGGAGCTTGATGATATGTGTAAGGAATTTTATGGTTTGAACTCTCAAATTACCCGGCTTGAAAATTCTGTAGCCCAAATTTCTGATAAGCAAGCTACCTTAGTCAATAAGATGGCTGCCAAACCAGAAAAGTTAGGTGAAAATAATGATGAAGATCTTAAAGTTATTGATGTGTCCCCTATTAGATCTTTGTTTTGCAATATGAATCTTAATAATAATGGGACTGGAGATGAGTCAACTTTAGTTAAAAGGCGTCCCAATAATTCGGAGTTTTTAGATCTTGATGCTAAATTTGGTAAAAGTGGGATTGGAGAGGTCAAGACTTTAAATAGCATTGAACCCACTATCTTGGATTTCAAGGAATTTGATTATGATAATTGTTCTTTAGAAGGTTGTATTTCCTTGTTGCAATCCGTTGTTAATTCTCCTCATGCTTATAGTCAAAATAAAGCTTTTACCAAACATATCGTTGATGCCTTGATGCAATCTTTTGATGAAAAACTTAATTTGGAAGTTTCTATACCTACAAAACTTAATGATGAGTGGGAAACTACTATAAAGATTAAAATTAAAGATCATGAGTGTTATGCTTTGTGTGATTTGGGTGCTAGTGTTTCCACGATTCCAAAAACTTTATGTGATATTTTAGGTTTCCATGATCTTGATGATTGCTCTTTAAACTTGCACCTTGCGGATTCCACCATTAAAAAGCCAATGGGAAGGATCAATGATGTTCTCATTGTTGCAAATAGAAATTTGGTGCCCGTAGATTTTATCGTTCTTGATATAGATTGCAATCTTTCTTGCCCTATTATTCTTGGTAGACCTTTCCTTAGAACGATTGGCGCGATTATTGATATGAAGGAAGGGAATATTAGATTCCAATTTCCATTAAGGAAGGCATGGATAACTTTCCAAGAAAGAAAATTAAATTACCTTAGGAATCTATCATGCGGGCTACTTATGAATTGAGTGCCAAAGATGGCACTACTTAGATCTATCCTCGCTCTTATGCCTAGCTAGGGGCGTTAAACGATAGCGCTAGTTGGCAGGCAACCCAATTTTATTTGTGTTTTTTGTTTATTATTCTGTTTAGTAATAAATTTTGCATCTACCTTCTGTTTAGATGTGTTTTTATGTTTTAATTAGTGTTTGTGCCAGGTAGAACCTATAGGATAACCTATGGTGATAGTTAATTTGATTCTGCTGACAAACAGAAACTTTGCACACATGAATTTAGTTTTGTTAAATCACAGAAACGTTATTGTGCATTGAATCTTTTTTATGTAGATCAATAGACAAATTTTCCAGGACTTCCTATTTTGGTAGGATTTTTAGAGTTCCAGAAGTATTCGTGGGTTAGAGATTGCTACAGACTCTTCTGTTTTTGACTAATTCTGTTTTTCGTGTGTTGTTTGCTTATTTTGATGTATCTATGGCTAATATTAAGTGGTATGCACCATAGAGAACTTGAAATATAGTAGGTTTAACACCAATATAAATAAAGAATGAGTTCATTACAGTACCTTATGTGGTGGTTTTGCTTTCTTTCACTAACGGAGCTTATGAGATTTCCTGTTGAGTTTTGTGTTGTGAAGTTTTCAAGTTTTGGGTAAAGATTTGATGGACTATGGAATAAGGAGTGGAAAGAGCCTAATCTTGGGGATGCCCATGGCACCCCAAGATATTCAAGAATAGCCAAAAGCCTAAGCTTTGGGATGCCCCCGGAAGGCATCCCCTCTTTCGTCTTTATTTATCGGTAAGTTTACTTGGAGCTATATTTTTATTTGCCACATGATATGTGTTTTGCTTGGAGCGTCTTGTATGATATTAGTTTTTTCTTTTTAGTTTTCCACAATCATACTTACTGTACAGACCTTTTGGGAGAATCCCACTTGATTGTAATTTATTAGAATACTCTATGTGCTTCACTTATATCTTTTGAGCTAGATAGTTTTTGCTCTAGTGCTTCACTTATATC